ACTAATTAGCGGATTACCCTAAGCCCTAGACCTCCAATTTTGTGTTCTATCCCTAAAGCCCAAATTATAAACCCTAACCCTAACCCTAAATCTCTAAACTCTAAATCCTTCAAATTAGAGTAAATCTTCAATGGTTTTTGTGTAAATTCATGTGCGTTATTGTTCATCACATCATAAGTGATGATTGACATCATTTTGACATAAATCGCATGTTTAAAATGACAGTTATGAAGCAAGTGCACTGAATGCACTAAAAAAAGTGAGTGCACCGAAAACGCCACCCTACTTTGATATATATCTTTGAAATAAACATATTGAGACATTTAGTACCAGTATAAGACCAAGGTGGTACTGCTTGGCACTATATGGAATCATAGTACATTTTATAAAAGTGTACCATGATGGTATGAATAAAACATATTGTAAGATGGTTGAAGTGCATGATAATATGAATATATGAACTGTCATCTACCACATTCAACATTGTGTACCACTACACCCCCATACCAGGGTGGTAAGGAGTGGTGCTTTATGGTCTTGTATTTTTTTCGCAGAAATTTGTAGATCCCATGGATCAAAAAGATTTTGTTTCATCTATGCAAAAAAAAATTCAAAATTTGAGTTAAAAATGAAGTTGGTACCAAGGTGGTAACGAGTGATATGAATTTTTTTTGTCGAAATACATTGAAAATGAATATCATTTTGTAGATCACAACTAACTTGTTCCATTTGTGCAATTTTTTTTGAAATTCGAGTTCGATCGAATAAGATAAAAACTTATTAAGAAAACTAGAGAAAATAAAAAGTCATAAAATCCCACCACTTAGATCTAAATTTTCTAGGTCACTCAAATCCAAAGGTCCAGATTTAATTAATAAAGGGTGAATAACTCTATCCTAAATTCCTAATCGTCAATTTAAAAAAAAACAAGAAAAATGAACAATAGCCACCGTGGCTACTATAATAGTGATAATCATCCCAACTCAGGACCTAACTCGTCCCATTATGGACCAAATATTAAGTCGGCACGCTAACGTATTCCCCGCTTTCTTACTCGCCGGAATTTGTCGGTAATCTGCGATCGTAAAAAGCGCAAGCATAAACTTGTTTTTCAGTTTCCAAGAACCTTTTGCAGTGCTAACGGTTGGGTTTTCTTTCCCATGTTTTTTCATCTCATCCTTGAAAATGAAATACAAGATATCAAGCTACAGCCTACATCATTCATCTATCTCAAATATTCACTATGTACGAAACTCAGCGCACAAAGTCATGTTTCTAAATAAAGAATATAAAAAGGACTACCCAACAGCATCCAATGCAGTAGTTGCCACACCTAACTCTCAACTTGTCTTGTTACTTCTCCGCTTTATTTGTTTCTCCAGATTCTTGACCCTTTGACTTACAATCGAACGTGCAGACGATACCCTATGATCAGCAAACTTGGGTTGAACAATCGGCGGCGATGATCCTGGCTGATCTCTAGCAGCTGCTGCCCGTTTGAGTGCTGAAAATAGATTGAATGAAGTCTGCGAAGCAGCAGCACTAGATGCAGCAGCCACAGGCACCTCAGGAATACCCAAGCCTTTCTTTACCCCTGGAACTTTTAACGCTGAAAGTGCAAGTATGAGAGCCAAAGCTTCAAATGAACATGAATTCCGGTAAGGGCTACCAAGTAGATATGGAGCACAGGATATGAATAGTGGGTAAGACTAACCGAGGCCATATCCAAGCGAAAACATATTTGATGTTATCCAATAGCAAAACATAGCCTGGCAAATAGAAATACACGATCATTAGTTAGTGTCAACGTTAAAATAACACACTACCATCAAGAAAATGAACAAGGACCAGGATGATACCTTTTGAAAAGTCATCGTGAGTGGAACAGAAGCAACAGCAATTACCCTCAAAATCTTCTTCATGGTTCCACCTGCTGGATTTCCTTCCAATCCTTCCTGCATGTTGGACTAAATATGCAGAGCAGTCAAATATTGCACTCATAAGACTGTCATTCGCATAACAAAGTGGCACAGAATCCATGACATTTTCAAAGGATCAAAAGCAGGGAGGTAAATGCCTTACCTCAACAGTTATCAAAAATGTCAGTCCGGTCAAAACTGGTAAGATGTACAGACTATCTGGGGCAGTGAGATCAACGAACCAGTAAGCACCACCAGTTTTAAAGGACGGCACTTTTTCTACCATATTTGAAATCTGTTGAGGAAAAAAGTTGAGGTGTTAGGAGGATGTTACGAATCATAATGGTCATCAAGAAAGAAAAGAAACCTTATTTATAGCAGGGAAGTGTGATTGCTATCTTACAGCAAGGAAAAAACTGATAAAGACAGGACCTTGGAAAATGAGCCCCTTCAGTGGAGTTAAAGGATGCACGCCATTGCTGAAATTACCAGTTCACCATACTATGTTAAGCAACAATGATACGATTTCAAGAGTAATCAGTTTCAATAGATTTATTTTCTTGGCTTGCAACTCACTTCTTGTGAGCAGCTTTCATGCATTTTCAATGGAATCCCTTCACTTATCAAACACTATACTTCGATGGAAAGCTAGAAAGTTTTTGCTTGGCAATACTTAAGTAGATGAGAGTCTGACATACAAACGCATGAAAAGTTTCTTACTCCTTGAAAAGCTTCTTAATTTGCTTTTGACCATCCGAAACAGCAGTGGGATCCATGCCCTGCAACAAAGTTAATATGAGGACTCCGCACATTAAAAGTGTCAAGCTTCTAAAAACAATTAAAGGGCACAGGAAATAAGGATAGTAGAACGGAACAACTTATTCGTTTGTTTTTTAAAGACGTGGAACAATTTCAATACAGCACAGACTTTGAAAGCATTTTGTCCTGATCATGTCTACGACAATGCACAAGACATCCTACCTTAGCTTGCATTCTCTGATTAATTTCCTCCATCTGTGGTCTTATAATCTGCAGAACATACACTGATCACTGAGGGCAGGTACAGATTGGCTATGAATAACACAATGAGCAATTAAATGAATCATGAGTCAAGATCCAAGATCATTGACATTATAAATCTAAGAAACCAAATATAAGTTATATCATAGGCAAGGCACAAAAAGCACAAGAATACAACCTAGAAATAACATATTCAGTTTAAGAATGGGTACAACATGAATGAGAATACAGAAGTATGGAAAGCCATCAGAAGCATGTTCAGTCAAAATGTGAGTTGGTGTTGGTTAGAGATATCTTTCCCTGGATGATTATGGAAATCATGCAGCGAGCATATGGTCCCAACAACAAGCTACAAGTGGACATCAGTTGAGTTATATATAGGGGTCACAAGTGCTAATGCCTAGAAAACAAATTTCAGTACTCGAGCCAAATACTCGACAGGTGACAATTCCTCAGGTAATTGGCAAATGCCCGGCTAAATGACTAACCAAGTGACGGCCAGAACAACAAATAACTGGTGCGTGAATGTATGGTGCCAACAGAAAGAACATACGCTAAGTTTTGCGGTGGCTTTCAGTTGATTTATTACGAGGGGCAGCATCGCTCCTCGGATCAGTACCGTAGCTATGACTATGGATGCCCACCTGAAAGATAATGCATCGAGGAAACCGCCCTTTAACACATGGCTAAAACTACTTGACAAACTCAGAGGACCTAGGGGGTCGTTGTGCATTTCACTTTGGGATTGCCATGTAATTCACTTACCAGTTGAAGCCAGTAAAGGAATGGATAGCGTCAATAAAATGTTGGAGAGCTGCCACAGGAAAGAAAGAATCAGCGGCAGCAACGGAAACTTCACTCAGAGCAGTAGGGGCGGCTTGCGCGGATGCATCGATTAGGACGCCTGATACTCCATCGTTTCCGTCGGGGGTCCCGCCGACCACGGTGGACATGTACCGAGAACCAGAAGCTCCGATGCACATCCGTCGAACGAGCAAAACAGAGCCAGGAGAGGTAAGGGACCTAACACGGGCCGTGGCGTCAATTCTGGCTCCCACTAGACTTTTAAAAGTCCTCCCCCACTGCTGTGTTTGGGGGGAAGGAGGATCTTCTTTGTGCTCATCAAGGCCGTTTAGGGAGGTGGGAAGAGAATGATTGCATCGACACCTCACGAGGTCAGCCGCTCTGGTTGATAAACTACGCCGAAGGTACGCCATCGAGTTGGCGAATGTTGTTAAGTTAAAAGTACTTCGTTGATGGTGCCGTCCGGAACTATAGATACACCTGGGATAGAGAAGGATAGGCAGCCAAACATAGAGAAGGCGGCGACAAACGCAATCCTTTATATTGGAGAGCAGACTGCAGATCTCTCCCAAGTCGAGCGCTATCGAAAGAAGAGGGAAGCCGATAGTCTTCGGTCGACACCTTGCAAACTCTTGCTAAGGGTTTGGCCAACCCTATGTCCCAACTCCTTAGTAAACATTTCAATTTAGTAATTGCCTAATTGGGTTAATACCCTAGCTTAAAAAACTTAAATTGGGTAAAAAAAATTAAAAAAATATATGAGAGGTGCTCTCTCCTCTCTACTCTAGTTTTGTGTTTTACTAGGCCGGCTTCTCGTCGCCGCTGGTGGTGTCGTCTCACTCCCAGTCGCAAACTCAAAGAAAGCTTGCCTCCGCCTATAGAGTCCCAGAAGGATGAGAATGGTCTTTCTTGGTCCAGGGATCATCGATGGCGGTCTGATCACCAGATCACGAAACGAAAGTTCGGCTCTGTCCGAACGGAAAGTGATTCAACCCCTTCCAAAAAATTGAAACCCTCCCTAGTCTCATCGGAGGTGGTGTGGAAATTTAGTTTGCCTTCTTCTGCTGAATTGGAGGCCGAAGAATGCTCAATTGCCTCCTATTCCAATCGCAAGGAGGTGAAGCTAGTTGGCTTCGTGAGAAATTTTTTGGGGTGGACTCCGACCAGGATCCCCCTTTTTCCATTACTGTGGTAAAGGGATGGCCGGCGGCGGCGCCTCCCCCTGATTCCCAATCTTCCAGTAAAGGTGTGGGATCTGCCAGAATCCTAACCCAAAAAGGGGGAGACGATCACGGGCAGTTGGAGTTAGGGTTAGCTCCTAAGAATCCTCTACCCAGATTTGATGAGATTTTGCCGCTGCTGGATTGTCAAAAAAAAATTCAAGATTCGAAAATTAATGATGTTTCCCTCTCCAAATCCGCTTAGGAGTCGTAGCTCGGGAATACTTGGGAGACGGTACGCCTCCTCTCTCTTTAAAAGACCGTACTCACCACTGACTCTTCTCAAGGACTTTCCTAGAAGACAGTGGCAATCGGTTTCGACGGCTAATCCCTTCCCAAAGTATTTCCCAGCAGACCCGAGCCCTGGTAAGTGGGTTATTCCCATTGATTAGATTCTCTTTGCACCTGGGCAATTGACCCGCTCCTTTGCTATTTCGACATCACATCACCCATCCTCGGTCCCAAAACCGAGCTCGCTAATGATGGCGACTGCCTCAGGGGCTTCTTCTGAGGATGCGTTTAATCGTTCTATGACCCTTGCTCCTCTGCAGGATACCAAGATGGTTCATATTACTGATGACCAGGTGGTGCAGTTCTCTCTAGAGGAGGTGCAATCGACGAGATTCAGGATCTCCCGAACCCCTTTTGGGCTGCCTGTTCTCTGATAATCAGATTTCGCTGGCCGAACTGCGGGAAGCGGTCAATTTCCACTAGCAGGGAAAAAGCCAGATACGCGTCATGAATACCAAACATGGCCTTCTTGAGTTTGTGTTGCCGTCTGAGGAGTCCAAGAACTGGGTTCTCGAGAACACCCCTTGGATTATCAAAGACAGAATTCTCCATCTCCGATCATGGACGCACAATATTGTTCAAAGAACATTTGACGAGCTGGCGATTGCGCCATTCCGTGTCCAACTGTGGAACGTGAAGGAAGACTGCATTACCAAGCAGTTTGAGCGCAAGGTGGTCAATGACACCATTGGTAAGGTTCTGGAGGCAGGTGTTTTTACCTGCCAAGATACTGGGGAGTCTTTCGTCAAAGTGAGATCTTTAATTGACTTTACAAAGCCCCTTTGCTCTCAATTAATTGCGGCAAGTGATGAACTGGGGTGTTTCTGGGTTAATTTAAGATATGAATACCTACCCTCGTTCTGCTTCCATTGTGGGCGGGTTGGTCACTTGCAACGTAACTGTATTTTTGACCCCCCCCCCCCCAACTAGAAAGGAGAGATTCAACCCCCCAAATGTCGACAAAAAAACTGGATTCAAGAATATACGATACGGAGGAGGATCTTCCCTCTTTTCCCGGGGCTAGGAACTCTGTATGGATCAACAAGAATGTTCCTGGTGGTGGGCGGGCCTCAAGTGATAGGGTGGTACACCCAAACCTTGGCCGGGAAAACTTAGCGGCTGGAAAGAAGATAGAGTCTTCTCGAATTCAACTACGGGAAGGGAAGGCAGGGATTTCCTCTGATCCTCAGCCAGCGATGGAGAAAAAGAGGAATCGGCGTCTGAGTCCAAGGGGATACTCCCTCGCGAAATCTCCAAGGCTGCATATTGGCCGCAAGTTCCGACATGGTTCCAGCAAGGCTGAGATAGGTGAAACTTCCCGCAATGCTGGACGTTGGGGAGCCAAAAAACCAAAACAGGTAGTTAAACCTTCTCCTGCTTCGATGGAGATAGATGAGAATCAGACCCGTCGACGTCGGCTCGTCCTGGAAGAGGAGTCCGATGATGGTATATCTCTAAGTGAAATTCCCAGGCAGGTTGTGCCAGCATCTCGCGGTGGGAACCCCCCTCCAGTTGGTGATGGGGCCTCGCGCATAAACAAAGGGAAGGGATTGTTGCGTGTTTATGAACCGAAGCAAGACAAGCAATAGCTGAAGACTCCTCACATCCCCAGGCCATCAGATCAACAACCTGCTTCACCGATCCTGCGTTCGGCGGCCACCTATAAGCTCAGGAGGGGGAAAACTCTTATAAAAAAGGCTAGTTCTCCTGCGGCTGCTCCCCTGAGACAAGAAACGATAAAATGAAGGCCTGGACGAGTGGCTTTCCTCCCCTTTGCCGAAAGCCGCTAGCCCGGATGGTTGCCAACCGACGGCCCAAATGATCCCAGGTGACATTCAGGACTCGGAGGTGACCCAATCGGAGGATGATGAGAAAAAATTTGAAATTAAATATCGTGTGATTGGAACTAATCGCGTGCTTATTCGCCAACCCAGTCAGGGACGGGTTCGGCGGGTTGTAGCCGCCTTTGAGACTGGGTTGGTGCTAAATAATGAGGAGCGCGACATCCAATCCGATGGTTCCCTTGAACATGCTGAAGAGGAGTTGGAGCTTAATGAATATGGATCGAATTTGCAAGATCCGGGTATTGGAGGAAGGAAAAGGGTTTGTAAAGAGGTGGATGATGAGACTGCTGAGATTCCTACGCCCAAGAAACAATTTGTGGAGGAAAGGGATGAGGAAGATGATAAGGTGGAGGTTGCCAGCCCGAAATGGCCCCAAAGCATTAAATGAAGATTCTGGCTTGGAATGTGAGGGGAATTGGACCGTCACTCACATTCAAGACTGCGGTCGGTCTTGTTCATTCTAATAAACCGGATCTTGTTTTCTTTTCGGAGACAAGGTCACGTCGGCGAGTAGTTTCCCGTCGTATGCGGGGCTTAGGTTTTGATTCTTCTCATGTTTTCTTTGTAGATGCTCTTAATGCATCAGGTGGTCTTGTTGATGCGTGGTCTCCCGAAGTTGATGCTTTGGTTTTTTTCATTTTAATTTTCGTATTGGTGTCCAAATTAATGAAGTGAACTTCTCCTACATAGTGTTTTGTGTCTATATCAGTTGCAATGCTTCTATTAGATTGCAACAATTGATGCAGCTTCGTGAGATTTGTGATGGGGTCTAGTTACCTTATGTGATTTTAGGTGACTTCAATGTTATACTGCATGAAAGTGAGAAAGATGGTGGGAATCCTTGGAATGCCTCTCAGTCGGGTGCTCTCCGGAATTTTATTCAGGAGCTTAGGCTCCATGACCCTGGTTATCAAGGGAACCAATTTACTTGGACAAACAAAAGAATGGGTATCGACTGTATCCGTGAGCGTCTGGATAGAGCTCTTTGCTCTCAGACTTGGATTGATCGCTACCCTGATACTCTTGTTAAACATTTTACTGACCAGGGGCCGGACCATCGTACGCTGCTCCTGGCAGATAAGCCTTACGTCCGTCATAGTCGCCCCTTATTGCGTTTTGATGCGCGCTGGGCGGATAACCAAGAGGTGAGAGCAATGGTGAATTATGTGTGGAAAGAGGAGGTCCAAGGGACTCCGATGTTCCAACTTTGGGAAAAACTAAAGAAGCTTCGCCACTTGCTCTATGACTGGAGTAGGGCAGGAACCACTAACTCCCTTCGGAACATCAAAACTCTCCAGGCTGAGATTGAGAGAATTAAGGCGATTCATTCGATTCATTGGATGTGGTGAAGCAAATGGAGATGGAACTGAGTAGACAGTGGGAGGCGGAGGAAATCTATTGACAGCAAAAATCGAGAGTCCGATGGCTTAAGAAGGGGGATCAAAATACTTCATATTTTCATACGGTTACGAGTAGGGGTGGAAATTGGGGTGGGTGTGGTTACCCACCCCACATTTTGCGGGTAACCACACCCACTAATATAGAATTAATCTACCCACAACCCGCCCCGCGGTGGATAGTGGTTAACAACTATTCGCTGCGGGTTGGTGCGGGTTGGTTGTGGATACCCACAATAATTTCATCATTAAATAAAATAATATGATAATTAAATAGTGAAGTTGTGTTTCTTCTCACACAAAAACAAAAACATACATAAAAGAAAGTTAATAAAGTGTTAAATAAATCATAAATCTCGAATATAAGAGGTTCATTAGTGTAAATTCATAAGAGATGAATTTGGAAAGAGATTTGAAGATAACGGAGAGGCAGAGTGACCTGTTACCAAACAAACATCGTTGCATGTCACGGCTCCTCCAATGGCAACAATAACAAAACACAAAAGTGGGTCGATAAGTGTGAGGCACCCGCTTTTAAGGAATTGATTATTCTCCACTCTTGATCATAGTCTTGTATTGTTGGTAGCTAGTTGCATGTTGTGTTGTTCGTGAGTTCATGGAGAAATGGAGACGAGTTTGGGTATCGAACTAACATTTATCGATTATTCCCCTCTTATAACGAATCGATTAATTTATTTAACTATATCAATAGATTTGGTTTTGTTATAAAATAAACATATACCACACGCACAGTGCTTATTTGATAAAAATATCTCACACGAACATTGCATATTGACTTGATTTTGTGTTATAGAATAAGTATGTATTTGATTTTAGTAGCTACCTTAATTCTTAGTCTTCCAAGTTTCACAAACTAATATAACTAATGTGGTTAATGTGGGTTTTGTGGGTAAACCGATGTGGGTAGTAGTTAACCATTAACCACACAAATCAATATTTTACTACCCACACCCAACCCACTATCCACAAATTGTGGGTATGGGTATCCACAAAGTGTGCGGTTTGCCTGCAACGCGCAAACAAAACTTCCACCCCTAGTTACGAGGGCACGAAGAAAACGGAACGTCGTGGCGGGTCTCCGTAATGATAATGGGGAATGGGTTGCTGAGGAATCTGGGAAGGCAGACATTGCCTGCAATTTTTACCAGGCCTTTTTCACAACGGAGAATCAGGTAGTTAACATGTCTGATCGTGTGGCTCAGCTTCCCATTGCTCATAGTATAACGCCGGAGATGAATGCAAGCCTTATGGCGGAAGTTCTTCCTACGGAAGTTAGAAAAACGGTTTTCTCTATGGGATCAAAGCAGGCGTCTGGTTCTGATGGTTTTACGGCAAATTCTTTAAAGCATTTTGGGATATAGTGGGTCCTTCGGTGATTGAAGCGGTCTTCTCGTTCTTTAGCACGAGTAAGATGCTCCGTAGCTTTAACCATACCTGGCTCACTTTGATTCCCAAAGTGGATAATGTTGAGAACATGCGCCAGCTTCGGCCGATTAGCCTCTGCCAATTTGTGTATAAAGTTATTACTAAGATCTTGGCTGAAAGACTGGCTGGTTTCCTGCCGCATATAATCTTGGAAGGTCAAAATGCCTTTATCAGGGAACGTCAGATCGTTGAGAATGTCCTCCTGGGTTATGAGTTAATGCACTACTTGAAAATTAAGACGCGTGGAGAGAAAGGGTACATGGCTCTGAAGGTTGATATGGAAAAGGCCTATGATAGAGTCGAATGGCCGTTTCTTCTTGTAGTCTTGGACAAGATGGGTTTTAACTCTATCTGGAGGGGATGGATTCAGGAATGCCTCAGGTCAACTTCTTTCTCTGTCCTCATGAATGGTAAACCCTCGGGTTTCTTCACTCCTTCCAGGGGGCTCCGTCAAGGGGATCCCCTTTCTCCGCTGTTATTTGTTATATGCACTGAGGAGTTTGCGGCTCTGCTTAGGAAGGCTATTGCTGATAACAAACTTGCGGGGGTTAAGGTGGCTCCTCGAGCTCCCAGAATCTCGCATTTGTTTTTCGCTGATGATTCTTATCTATTCCTTCGGGGCTCTCTCCAGGAATGTGAGAATCTCATTGAAGTCTTGAATGAATATGAAGAACTGAGTGGTCAACGGGTGAACCTGGGCAAGTCAGCGGTCTGCTTTAGCAAGAACATCGCCCTGCCTAATCAGGAATTCTTGGCTCAGATCCTGGGGGTTGGCGTTACAGGCGTCCATGATAAATATCTTGGATTACCTACGCTGATAGCCCAGTCTAAGATGGCTACATTCCGGTACTTGGAGGAGAAGCTGCTTAAGCGGCTTCAAGGATGGAAGCAGAGGACTTTGTCATGGGCAGCCAAGGAAACGTTGATTAAGTCAGTTGCTCTGGCTTTGCCTTTGCACGTCATTCCTGTTTTAAGTTTCCTTTGTCCCTATGTCGTCTCCTGGACCGGCATGTAGCCAGATTCTGGTGGGGTGTGGAGGAAGGGCACTCGAGAATTCGATGGATATCATGGCGCAATATGTGTAAAAGCAAGCATGAGGGGGGCATGGGGTTTCGCCGTTTTGAACATTTTAATCAGGCTTTACTAGCTAAGATTGGGTGGCGTATCTTGTAGGAACCCCAGTCCCTCCTGGCTCGGGTTTTTAAAGGGAAATATTTTCCGAATGGTACTTTCCTCGATGCAAAGGCTCGTTCCCACCCTTCTTGGGGTTGGCAGAGTATCTATTTTGGGCGGCAACTTTTGGAGAAGGGACTTCGCTGGCAGATTGGGAATGGTCAATCTGCGTCCCTCCTTTGCTCAAACTGGATCCCTAGATTGCACCCCTATCCCCCAGTGTATAATCCCCGGGTGCTTCCAGAGAATGGAGACCCTTGTGTGGCTGAGCTCATATGTCCTGGGGAGGGTAGATGGTGTGCCCAGAAACTTAGTCAGTGGTTTGATCCCCCAACCTGTCAGGTTATTTAGTTAATTCCTCTCCCCTATCATAATGTGGAGGATAGACTAATCTAGCATACTACTGCGGATGGGATTTTTTCGGTGAAGTCGGCTTATCATCTTGCGGTCTTGTTGGATAAGCAACAGGGTCGGTGGCGTGCCACGACCAGCTGGATGGATCGATCTAGTTGGATCCGCCTTTGGGATGCCTCCATTCCTCCCAAGTTAAAAGTGTTTGTCTGGCAGTTCTTCAATCGAATCTTGCCTACAACGGAAGCTTTGATTGAGAAGGAGGTTCCGATCCTGCCAAGATGCCCGGTCTGCTGGGCGGCACATGAAACTATGGAGCATCTTTTCCTGGATTGCCATGTGGCGCGAGCCCTGTGGGATTATTCTGGTCTGGAATATCTTGGGCAAGGGTTGCCTTGCCACACTTTCCCGCTTTTTTTGAAACGATTGTTGTTGCTCATTCATCAGCCTTCACTGGTGATGGCGGTAGTTGCTATTCTTTGGCGTATCTGGCGATCCCGGAATTGGGTGGTGTTTGAGGGGAAACAGTCTGGGATCCCGGCTTTAATGCGACAGTTCCACCAGCTGTATGAGGAGTGGATTAGTCTCCCTGTGAACCGTGTTCTCCAGCCATCCTCTTCCCAGCTGCAGCAGGTGGATCTTGTAGAGACCAATTCACCTATTTGTATGTGGGACGGGGCAGTGAGGTCGGGCTCTCATTCGGCTGGAGGAGTGGTTATTATGAATCAGGCGAGGGAAATCCTTCTTGCTAGAGGGGTCCAGTTTCCGTTGATTGAGGATCCTATGGTGGTCGAAGTACTTGTGCTCCGGGAAGCAATTTTGTGGTGTCTGACTCAAGGTTTTACGGTGATGAGGTTTGAGTGAGATGCCAAGGTGGCTATCGACAAGGTCAATCGGGGAGATGCTCATGATAGCAGGGTGGGAGCCATTATTGAGGAGATAGTCCATTATTTGGCCATTAATGCTGGGTTTAGTGTTTGGTTTGTAGGTCGGCGTAGCAATAGGGTACCCCATTTGGTGGCTCGCAAGGCCCTTTCATTATACCCGTCTATGAGTCGCTTCTTTGATTTCCAGGCCTGACTGAATTCCAGGATGTAACTTTTTCCTATATCAATACATGATTATCTTTTGTAAAAAAAAATTAATACCCTAACTTGACCCAAAGTTCGACGTAAGTGACAGTTATGGGCTCATTTTTTAAATAAGACATTTATGACCTATTCTTGAAACTATTTAACAAAATTAGTCCGACGTTTAAATTGATCATCAATATTGATGGTCAAACATTTTTTTCATCCACGACTCAGCATTTTATGATGAGGTGGCTATAAGGTGACTTCCATGTCACTATGCTGAAAAAGATTCACAATAAAATTAAGAAATAAAAATATGAAAACAAATAAAAGAAATTATGAACCACAAAAATAACAATCCTATCTTCTCTCATCCCACCGTGAACCCAGTCCCCCATTACCGATTCTCTCGACAAACTCTACCCAACCCCGATGAAGCATTCCAACATTTCATCAACGGCGATCGTCGACTGTTTAGCCGCCGACGAGAGAGGAGAAGAGAGTTTACACTAACAAACGGGGAATAGGAACAACGGTCGCCGCTGTCTTCATCACCAACAACCCCCCTAGCAACTCACTCGAGGAGGGAACTGGAAGGAGAGAGAAAGAATTGGTGGTCGTCGATTTGAAACAGGGAAGAGGGAAGTCGAAGCGGCGAGAAGCAGGCGGCTGGGATCTGAAAACATCATCGTATTGGAGGGTCTTCCAATGGATCGGATGTGGTGGTGTACTCGTGTTGCCATTTTAAAATTCAGAATTCATATCTCACTCTCACTTATCGATGGGGAAAGGTAATTTCCAGGAAGAAGATTGAAGTTTCTGGGCGGCGAAGGGATGAGGTAGTGGGCGCCTCATATTTTTAGTTTTTATTTGTTTTCATTTAATTTTTTATTTTTAGCATAAATAAATTATATAAAAGCCACTTCATTGCCACCTCAACCCTAAATAATGTGAGTCACTAGCAGAATAAATGTTTGACCGTTAACATTAATTGTCAACATAGATTTTGGGCTAAATTTATCCAATAGTTTTAAAAGTAGACCATAAATTTCTTATTTGAAAAATGGAGCCAGAATTATCACTTACGCCAAACTTCGGGCCAAACTAGGATATTAACCCTTCGTAATTTACCAATAATGTCCTAAGAAGCCCAGTTGAACCTGAGATAGAATCGGTAACCATTGGTTACTAACTCATTAGTAACTAAATCTATATCTTTATATTTAAGTGAGCCGAGAAAACACAACCAGTTCTAGAACCATCAATGATTGGGGAAGCTCCAGCTATTCGAAATCTTAGTGAAAGACTATATATAAGAATTATGAATTAAAGACTTTTTGTTTTTCCTAGTTTTGTTAATTGACTCTTATCTTCTTCGTTCTAATTTGTATTTCAAATTTTTTTTTTTTGCACAGATGGAACGAGTTCGTTATGCTCTACAAAATGAGGTCAATTTTCAATATTTTTTGAGAAAATTTTCTCATACCTCTCGTTACCAACTCCATACCATATGGTATATTTTTCGTTTTCAAGTCGTTTTTTAAAATATTTGCACAGAAGGAACGAGTTCATCAATATCTATGGGAACTACAAATTTCTGGGTGAAAACAATACAGACCAAAAAATATCATATTATACCACCCCGGTATGGGGTGGTAACTTGTAGTACACAATGATGAAAGTCGTAAATGACAGTTAAGATACTCATACTATCATATAATCAATTATCATACAGTCTTGGTATGTTCATACCACCATAATACGCTTTCATATCATATAGTATACTCTTATTTAATATCAGTCAATATCATCTGGTACATACCTCTAAAAAATGGCAACTTTTTTTTGTTCTAAAAATATATCAAAATGGATATAATTTTGAAGAGCACAATTGATCCATTTGTGCACAAAAATTTAAATTTGAACTTAAAGCGAGAAAGAAATCGCCCATTAAGTATTAGAAGGGGAAATTCAAACGCGCAAATACAAGAATGCTAGACCCACTTGCCACGATAAATACAAGCGCGCAAAGAGTCGATGATGCAGGGCAGAAGCAAGAAAAGTTGTGGTTTACCCCAATGCACAAGAGAATGTCAAATCAGTGAAATCACCAAGCTTAAGCATTTGTATCCTCTTTCACCCTATAATGTTTCAACAATCACAGTAAAGCACATACCAAACAAGTAAAGGGATTTTTCCAGAAATAGCACCTTTTAAAAAAAATTACAAAAATAGCACCCACCCAAAAATATTTACAAAAATAGCACCAATTTTTATGGACCGCACCTCTAAGGTGCGGTTTATTATCCTGGGCCAAAACCACATCTTGGCCATGCGGTTTCAGGTCTGACCTACATAAACCGCATGGCCGAGGTGCGGTTTTGGCCTGACCTAGCAAAACCGCACCTTGGAGATGCGGTTTGCATGGCAGACGAAAACAGTATCTCTCTAAGGTGCGATTTTCATAAGTGATTTTGCCTATAAAAGACTACACGGAAAACCTCTTCTCTTCACACCTCTCCTTCTCCATTTTCAATTTTCTGATCTAGCTCTATATTTCTTTAGTGTTTTTGCGATTAACGTTAACTCGTAAGTTTATTTTGTATGACTTTTTATTGTTATTTGTGATTTTTATGATATTAACTGAACTACGGTTTTTTTGCAGATGGCATTTCAAAAGTTCACGTTTGGCTTACAGTGGAATGGTTACACGGAAGAGACCGGAAAGGGGGTCACCTACGTCGGTGGCAATTTTCAGAAAATAAAGGTCGCTACCAGATCGCTGCTTGAAGACCTCCATCAAATGTGCACTAACGTTACTTGCATGGATGACACGAGAAGAGTTGATCGTATGGTGTACCGATATCCAAACAGAGAAAGTGGGTCATTGTGACATGAGGAATATCTCATAACCACTCAGGATGAAGTAGATTCCATGCTCGAATTCTTGAGGTCCAACAATCTTTCCAAAGCCGAGATGTTCGTTTACACCGAGGCGGCCGTTGGCGTTGGAGGTCATTCTGGACACGGTCAAACATCTGGTATCCATGGTGGAGGTGAATTATATGACAATCATCCCTACCAAAGTTACCATGATCCTCATTTATATTTTCAGTACCAAGAGCAAGGTGAAGGTCATCATCAATCTTTCCCGTCATATGAAGAAGAAGTTCAACCGGACCTCCCCAACCAACCTCAGTACAACTTCCAATCAGGCAGCGGTAGTTTTCACAACTACCATTATGGAGCTGATGAAGGTGCCTTTCATGAACTAGATAAGATTGGAGCTGCCCTACCAGCACCAGTTAGTGACCCCTCCGATGAAGAAGAAGAGACAACGTCAGTGCAGACAGCTCCGACCCTCTTGAAGGTGTTGATGATTCAGGACCAGAGTCAGACTCAGATAATGATGATGAGGTGGCTCGTAACCGTGTACCAGTCCCCTACTACAATCACATTCCAGACGACAATTGGATGGTTGACAGCGACATGGAGCCGCCAGAGGTCCCAGTATGGGGTCCACTCACTGGGTTTATGAAGGGCCAACAATTTGGCTCGAAGAAGGAGGTGCGACACGCCATTGAGACTGAAGCAATGACACAACTCATTCCAACACTAAAAGACTCATAGTCAGATGCCGTAATCATCACGAGGGGTGCAATGTTAGGATTCGGGCCATCAACAGCAAGAGACACGACCACTGGGTCATATCCCGTGCGATAAACACACACACGTGTGTCATACATAACTTCCCAAGGTCATCGACAGTTGAAATCCAGGGTGGTTGCTGCGGCTATCAAGCATCTAATTGAGCAAGATCCGGACTTGAAGGTGAAAGTCATAATCGCTGACATTGCAAGTCATTATGGTTATATGATTAACTATAAGAAGGCGTGGCATGGAAAGCAGAAAGCTCTGGTCGCCGTCTTTGGTGATTGGGAAGAATCATATGCATTCCTTCCCAGGTTAATTTTGGTATTGGAGGCGTCTAACCCTAGCACTGTTTTCTCCCCTCGATACCAAGATGAAGAGATACAACCCCCAGAGCCAGGTAACAACCACCATTTCAAACGACTTTTTTGGACATTCAAGCCATCTATTGATGGTTTTGGCTTCTGTGTCCCTGTGATCCAAGTGGATGGTACATTCCTTACCGTCAAGTACAAGGGCACTCTCCTGATTGCCAATGGTGCGGATGCAAACATACAAGTCTTTCCTTTAGCCTTCGCCATTGTTGAGAGAGAGAATGATGATAGCTATGGATGGTTTTTCTGGCAAATTCAGCTCCACGTCACTAGGAGGACGAACCTGACAATAATCTCTGATCGGCAGGCCGGCATTAGAGCTGTCATCTTAGGTTTAGATCCACTCTGGAAGTGGTCCCAAAGGTGGTGCATACGACACTTCAAGAGCAACTGGAACCATCATTTCAAGCGAAAGAAGTTTGCTGATAATTTGTGGTGGATTGGTAAGCTCTCTATTAGCCGTTTAATTTTGTCAGCTAACAATATCTTGTAATCGGGAGAGTGGTGCACTTGTTAGACTCTTTTTAAAGAGATGCATACCTAAGGAAATGGGGTTTTAAGCGATTATCATGGTCCTCCCATTTCCTGGGAAAATCGGGTTTTAAGCGATCTTCGGATTCGCCCTTTTTCTGTCAAACAGACTGTGTTTCTAAGGAGATGTATAATCTCAGAGGAAACTCTAATAAGTGATGAGCAGTATCAATGAAAAGGTAAAATCAGCAATCTCACTTAAAATGAGATGATACTGTAGGGTACAGGAAAACCCTACAGGAAAAATGGGAAAGAGCACGGGAAAGTAAAACCAGCAAGGCAAGGGGTATATGAAAAGAGGAGGCGGAATGTCAATGACTAATACAAAATACAGGAGAACACAAAAGTAACAGGCTGACAGAGGTAGGGAACTTGGGCTTTTATGGTTCTCTTCTCCTCATTCAAAATTTTGGAATTGCAGAGACTGTCTTTTATCACTAATAGCTGAAAGGAAGAAGAGGTTAACTCAGGAAACTGCAGAATGGATGGGTAGCCAAAAACTTTTCAAGAAGTAGATTACAAACTTAAAAGCAGCACAAATCAAATTAAGATGTTTCCTCTAGTGATACAGAAAGTATCACATAATAACCCATTTGGAATTAGCTAATAATAGCTAACAAGGCCCTGACATGTCAACAACTGCTGAGCTATTATTAAGGAGCAGTCACAGATGGAAGACCAAAGTGCTGTCAAAACATGCAGTACATGCACCTAATACCAGAGCTGAAATATTTTCCACAACAAACTGCGGGAGGCTTGGGAACCCACTGGAGATGGGAAGAGAGAATCAGACTTAAGTAGTCATCGAGCCAGTATCTCAAAGTGGTGGTAAATGAAGGCTTCGATTTTTTTTTAAGAACAGCTCCATTCCAAAGGTTTTTCTTTAAATATAGGCGAACCTTCAGACCTGAAGAATTGAAAATAGAGAGCATGACATGGTTTTTCATCCACCCTACACTGTAGGCCAATCACTTGGGCTTCTTTACAATATAATTTAGCCAGATGGAAATTCGACCACGAACATTCTCAACTAATCACAAAAAAGGCTATAGCTGGTATTTTACTTTTACTTATTATTCTTATTTCAAGATTATATTTTCCAGCCTGTGAACTTTTCATCTAGGACACCCTCAAATGAGAGATTGAGAATTTCATTTACAAGATAAGATGGGAAAATAACTAATAAAGCATAGCACAAGAAGCAGGCTGCACTTTGTCCAAGTAAAGCAATTTGTACAAAAATATATTACTAGTCATAATGAAGAGCTGAAAGCTGGAAAAACGCATTCCGAGGTCAAGAACATCATACACTACTGATGACCAGTATGCAGAACCTATAAACAGATGGAGACCTAAATACCAGAAATACAGAATCCATATAATCCTGCTTTTCATGAGATATCCTTTTTAGTGTGGCCTTAACAGTGAAAATAGTTATCAGCAAAGTATTAAAAGTGGAATGCACTACTTTCCAAAACTAAAACATAATTCCAGATGAAATACCATACCAGTTACAACAATTACGAGAATAACAGCAAAGGCAATGCTGACATCATTGACCAGCCTTCCTTGATACCCTACAAGAAACTGGATACCAAATAAACCGACCACGCATCAAAACCAAAATATAGAGTCAGAAGGAAGAGGACAAGTGCAGGCCATTCATAGTTCAAATAACTTATCGAAACAAAGTCTATTGCCAAGAAGGGAAAACAGAAGGAAACACCTCCCAATACCAAAGCCCTATGTGACTGGCGCTTCAAAAGGTGAAACTCTTGTCGTAGTTTGGCGATTAAACCACTGAAGCAACAGAATGCCAATAAAACCACTGAATCCAGAATGCAAACATGCCTCGTCGCGTTGGGTTGCAATTGAATTAAATAGTAACTCGAAAATCCCATAAACTTAAACACCATAATAAGCAAGCAAAACTCATTATCATCCTCAAAGTGATGATTAGCTCCCCAAGATTGTGGACCTAACACCATACAACAATACAAATGGATTGCATGATGTGATGACCAGCAGTTGACACTGATTCCTACCTCTGTTTTGTGCCCAAAGCCAAAGATGCAGCTACCATCAATATGATTAAGGTCAAATCTTGCCAAGCTTTCCAAAGAAACGTCTGCAATAAAGCAGACCAGACAGATTTCAGATAAGACAGCTTTTCCATGTTCAAGTGGCTAGTGAAATGCAAAAGAAAGATTTAGGAACTGTAAGAAACAATACCCAAGAGCTCCTTCCCTTCTTTTGGGGATACGTACTAGAGCCGAACGCATTCTTTCGTTTCACTAAATCAGCATTATCTCCAAGAATTCCTTTATCAGGACTCGTTTTCAGGGCCTCAGTAAGCCCTTTAACGATGAAAAGCACAAATGTCAGAAACAAAAACCCAAACACAAATGCATAATATCAACATGGAAAGGGGACTTACACCACCAAGATCCTGTAGAGCAGTAAAATTATGATCCCTTGTCACCGTGGTAAGCTGTTCTTGGGAAACTGCAAATTTCCTGCCTAGGGTTTTTTCCAAGTCTGTTTTCCATGTAAAAGGAAATGGAATAAGTAATCAGGTGGCATACGAAGTATGAAGTAGTAATTATTCTTAAAATGAACTAAAAGCCCATCTTTCCATATCTATAAAACAGAAGACCAACTTCACCAACAGCTCAACAAGGTAAGAGAGCTGTGGCAGAATTTGAACTAACATGCACAGAGAGAGTGCACCAAAGATGGGCAATGACCAAATAAAGAGCCGAATGGGGTATTGGCTGTTCTAGATTCACAAACAGGTCAAACGAAGACCTACCGGCAGGAGGCCAAATGAAGAAAGCGACCCAATCATACACATGGATCTCTAACAAGAGAAAATGGGTTAAAGACATATTTGGTCACTGAGATTACTAAATCGGGACATGTTTAGTCACTAGAAAAAGTTAATATCAAAATTGGTCACTATAATTACTAAAACGGGACGGAAATGGTCAAACCAGACCCGCCACGTCACTAAACCAGCCATATCATAACCCCAATCCAACCCATGAACCGAACCCGACCCTGAATCATAACCGACCCACTTTAACAAAAGCAAACCCGCTTCTCTTCTCCTTCCTCTCGTTCCTCATCTCCCCACCTCCACCTCTCACAAGCTTCTACCACCACAATCTCCCGCCGCAAAATGGAAACAGAGCCTCTCCACCCAACAGCCGCCAACGACGGGGGAACAAAATCGCCAACGACGAAAGCAACAATTACCTTCTGATACAAAACAGGGGAGGAGCGAAAACAGGGGAAGGCGAAAACCAACAGCAGCAGAATTTCAATTGGTGGAGGTTTTAGAAGTTCAATTACAACGTCGAGAGCTACGTCCTCAACTTCGATTGCGGGTTGGACGAGGAGGAGTATGACTACGTTAATGGATTTTCAAGAACTCTGTTCTCTCATCGAGATTAGGGTTTTCAAGAACTCAGGGGATAAGTGATAGGTGAGGGATCAGAGGTTCGATCAAGAATGGGGTTTCTAGGATCTGGTTGGTTTCCCTGGCGGCAGCAGGGGAGAAGTAGGGGATAAGTGGTGGGTGAGGGAACGGAGGTCCGATCGAGAATGGGGTTTCTCGGATCTGGTTGGTTTCCATGGTGGTAGCGGGGGAGAAGCAGAGGATAAGTGGTGGGTGAGGAATCGGAGGTCCACGGCGGTGGTTGGCGCTTCTAAGTTTGGAGGAGAGCTCATGGAGGATGTAGAGAGGCTCTGTTCTCTTCGTCTTGGTAGCTGCCGGCGGCGGCTGTTGGGTGGAGAGGCTCTGTTTCCATTTTGCGGCGGGAGATTGTGGTGGTGGAAGCTTGCGAGAGGTGGAGGTGGGGAGATGAGGAACGAGAGGAAGGAGAAGTGAGGCGGGTTTGCTTTTGTTAAGTGGGTCGGGTTTGGTTCAGGGTCGGATTCAGTTCATGGGTTGGGGTTATGATATGGCTGGTTTAGTGACGTGGCAGGTCGGGTTTGACCATTTCCGACCCAAAAAGGCGCTGACTAGGCGCTCACGTTAGCCACATCAGCACATAACAGACTCTGTTAACGGAGTTGGACGGCAACTAACGGCGAGTGACTAAATGTGTCCCGTTTTAGTAATTATAGTGACCAATTTTGATATTAACTTTTTCTAGTGACTAAACATGTCCCGATTTAGTAATCTCAGTGATCAAATATGTCTTTAACCCAAGAGAAAATAGACAGCTGAATACACAATGTGATCAATAAGGAAAGGCAATTGATGGCATGATTGCACAAACATCTCAACAATTTCACTGTGAGTAGGAAGCTAAACAAGATTGAAGTCGATGAAAGAAAGAAGAACAGGAAGTCCACACAAAAAAGCAAACCACATCCTATGCTACTTTGAAGCAATTCACATCGCCTAGTTGTGAATTAGGATGGCAGTACAATGTGATGGTAATTGAGAATATTGGAAGGAGATGTGAAAAAGCAAACCCTACACATATGAACCAGGAACACAATCCCCAAAAACCACTATCACCCAGCACAACTTGTCAACGATAAGTACTAAACACTGAAGATTAATAGAGAGGAGAAAGTACCATTTACTCGGAATCCAGCCTCCTTGAAAAGATATGCTGCCTGTCCAGCATATAGAGATTAAAAACCATGGGCAGTAGCACAAGAGGCAGAGCTACGAGTTAGCAAATGAGACATATACCCAAATGGCTTCTCCTCTTTCTTCAAGTCTAGGGTTTAACGGAATCGGCGAGAAGCATTGAGCACGAGTGCAGCTTGCTGGGGGAAAAAAAGGGGAGGAGTTTAAATGCATAATTCCAGTCGGCAATTTGCAATACCGTTATATGTCAAAGGTATGCGGTGATAAGAAAAACGGGAACGAGATGATGCATAAACCCAACTCCATGGCAGGAGGAGCGCGATTAGCACGGAGTGGAATAGAAGCAGCCATGGGTTCAGAGGGAAGAAGCGAGAGTGACAGAGATATACCTAACGGCGGAGACGGTCAGCATATTTGGTACTGGAATATTGTCCTCGAGGTCGTGGTCCAAGTCTGTGGAGCGGCGGCCACCAGACTCGGGGTCTCGCCGCCGTCTGTACGGAAAACCGAAAACCCGAGTACTCATTTGTTTTCCCTTTCTATTCACTAATAACTGTTGCAGGAGAGATGTCATGTGCGTTTATTTAATTTTATTAGAAATTAATTAGGGGTTTAGAAGTGAGATTGTGGTGTTAGTGGTTAACTAGAATTAAGGGAATTTAGTTTAGTGATAATTGTTTTGGTATTTTCGATTAGTTTGCTAGGTTATAGGGTTATTAGTTTTAAGTTCTCTATTTAAAGGAGATGTAGAGAGGAAGGGGTATCAATCAAGTATAATTAGGAAAAGGGTTTTACACACCTACGTGTTAATTTGAGAGGTTGGCTTTCCTCGAAAAAGCTTAGGGGTTCCGTTCTCGCCATCAAAGGGAACAATTCTCTTTTACCAATCTATCTATCTTTCCTATATTCTTCTTCTTCCTATTCCAATCTTTCTCCGTAAATCATATTCTACAAAACGTGCACGTAACATTTGGTATCAGAGCCGGTCGATCCTACAACAATGGAAGTTCGTGCAAAATCACTTGAATCTATGCTGGAGGCGATGGTGCACGAGAACGCGATGTTGAGGGAGGTGATGCGGGAAGGTTTTGCTGCTCTTAACGCAAGATTTGATCGGCTGCTAGCATGTGGGGCGAAGAAGGAACCCAGCATGAAGCTCGTCAATGGTGCCAAGGGGTTAGGAACCGACAACCCAATGAAGGCGAGAAATCAACTGCCCCCAAGCTCTCAAGCAAGAGGTTGATGCTGGCGTCGAAATGCAAAAGCTGCTCGAACCAATTGTTCATCATCAACATAGTAAGGAAAGAGAAGCCAAGTCCTTCAAGAAGCCACTAGTACGACCAGTACAAATAGCAGTCTTGAACTCCGCTTCAAAGAAGCATAACACGGCCTGGAACAAGAATGCAATTTCACATGAGTGGTTCTATCTCTCCACTTCCCATCTACGTTAAGTGACATCCAGGAGAAGCTATTGTTTGAGCCAAAAGATGCTAATTATCTAATGGGGAATCATTTGTGGTGGAAAGCAAAGTTTGGCAGAAGGTCCCAGTGGTGGTGGCTAATGCTCTATAGAGATCCAGGTTGAAAAAGATGTACGAAGTTCATGGCTGATTCTTGTGGTCAAGAATCGTTTCAAGGGGGGTGGAATGTCATGTGCGTTTATTTAATTTTATTAGCAATTAATTAGGAGTTTAGAAGTGAGATTGTGACGTGAATTAGTGGTGTTAGTGGTTAGCTAGAATTAAGGGAATTTAGTTTAGTGATAATTGTTTTGGTATTTTCCGATTAGTTTGCTAGGTTATAGGGTTATTAGTTTTAAGTTCTCTATTTAAAGAAGGAGATGTAAAGAGGAAGGGGTATCAATCAAGTATAATTAGGAAAGGGTTTTACACATCTACGTGTTAACATGGGAGGTTGGCTTTCCTCCAAAAAGGTTAGGGGTTCCGTTCTCACCATCAAAGGGAACAATTCTCTTTTACCAATCTATCTATCTTTCCTCTATTCTTCTTCTTCCTATTCCAATCTTTCTCCGTAAGTCATATTCTACAAAACGTGCACGTAACAAGAGATGACACTGTTTGTTAGTCCCTCAACTTAGGGGTAGCCGTAACACCGATTTCCATCATCAACCAGCAAACTGAAAACTAAAGCAAGAAGAAAGAGACGGAAAACGAATCGCCGGCCATTCTCTTTGGCCTTCGCCGACACCAATTCTTCCGCACTCCTCCCTCGCGGTATTGCTAAATGGTAACAAATAGTTTCTCTTCGACGATTTGCTTCAGGATACAGCACCTACATGCCAACCGGTTGAATCTGGTTCAACCGGTGGCCGTCATGAACCCGGCGAACCCCACCAGTATAACCGGTATGATCGTTCAACCGGTGTAGGTCATGAAATCGGTGTGAACACCACCGGTATGATCGATTTACGAATTCTAAACAAAATGATGTCGTTTTAGTGAATTTAATTGGTCAAAAATTAATTTACTATTTATTTCATGAATTTAAAAGTCAAAAGTTGATGTTATTTTTTGGATTGTAAGTAAATTATCCTCAAATATTTTTTGTATATAATTATATTCATTGGATGATAATGATTTTCACATTTTTACATATTTTGTTAAACCGACACAAACCGGTTGTACCACCAAACGTACCATTCCACTTGATATATCGGCACAACGGTATAAACCAGTTTGACAACCTTTATATCCAACATTCATATGATTCCTCTCCAATTTCAGTTTTAATGCGAGAAGCAAGCTAGCGGTTCACAAATGATATAATAGAATGTTCGTGGGGCTAGAGCAATAGTTTATGCGGTTATGTTTCCTTTCGTAGATTAAACAAAATGATGTTTGGTTACTAAAAGTATTTTATTTCATTTTTATCATTTAAATTTGTTAAATATTTTAAATATGTTACCTTTCATAATTTGACCATTAAATATGTTACGTAAAAATTAAAAATTATAATTTTAAAATTTTCACTAAGTATCACAATTATCAAAAATTAAAAAATAAAATTTTCTTTTAATTGCATAAAAAAACCCGTACCCGAAATCCTTATTCCCTACTCAACCTGATTTCTGTTATGGCGACGAAATTGGGCTCAGTGGCAGCAATAGCAACAACAGCGGAATCATGAGAATCTGGCTTCCTTCGCTGAGACGATCTTCCCTGCGCTGGATTACACGGTGGATCCCCCATACAGGCATGCCCGCCTCCACTTCACAATCAAGATCTCCTTCGCCGTTGGCACGTCCAAATTCAATTTTGAAACCAACTTAGCTACTTATACAGAGTCGACTTCACCTCCAACTTGCGATTGATACGAAGAAGGATGAAGGCGGTGCTCCGACGGCACGGCGACCTAGTGGGGTCGATCGTGACCAATTTCTTCCTCTACAAGGCAGCTCATCCTTGCCCTCTTCAGATGTGCCCTCTCTTAGGCTCGCAAATTATGAGAGAGTTTTGACCTAACAGTAGCTAGGGTTTCGAAAGGGGAGAGAAACAAGTAGGGTTTTAGAGGAAAATGGTTGAATGCCTTTTCCATTTTCTCTTATTCACATATATACCAGACATAGTCATTTATAGAGGAGCTAAGACTATTATAACGGCTAATAAACATAAAAGACCTATCTTGTACTGCCAAGTGGCTAAACGCGGGATAATTACAGAGAAACAAATGATGAATAAAACGATGGCGTTTCCTCCTTATTTATGTGACTGTTGGCTTCGAGTCACTAGTAAGGTGAAAAAAAGCCCGGTCTGCCCGTTGGTCAACCCGAGATGCCATCTTCGTCTTCCTTATGCAGAGCTGCAGTTCCTTCATTCTTAACCTTCTGCATCTGCAACTCTGCTTCACACGCCCCTCAAGTTGGCGAGTACATGGTTAACAAATATTGAAAACGATATGAGGATAAGGCTTTGGTAAATACATCATCCAACTGATGTTCTGTGTTCAAATGATTAAGATCCAACAAACCAGATTTCAACCATTCACGAATAACATGACAATACACCTCGATGTGTTTAGTACGCTCATGAAAAACTAGGTTCTCTGCAATATAAATTGCTAACTGATTATCACAGAATACCTTTACTGGTTGTGGATGCTTAACCCCAAAGAACTCCAAGAGGGATTAACCACTAAACTTCACATGAGAGCTTAGCCAATACCCTGTATGCTGCTTTTGAGGAGGATCTAGAGACCGTATCCTGTTTCTTGCTCTTCAAAGTGACCAATGAACCTCTCAGAAAGGTGCAATAACCTGTAACTGACTTCTCGGAGTCAGTGTAAGTGGCCCAATTCGAGTCACTATAACCACTGAGTTGCAGAGTAGGGCTGGAAGAAAACCATAAACCCTGTCTTGGTGCACCTTTGAGGTATCTCAGGATTCTATGCAAAGCCTTCAGATGAATGGTAGTAGGATAATCCTAGAACTGACTGAGCCGCTGAACTGGAAAGCAGATATCAGGTCTTGTAGTTGTAAGGTATTACAATTGTCCCAGTAAATGCCAGAAAACAGAACCATCTTTCAGCTTAGTCCCATCTGATGAGGATAAAGTTGTTTTCATGCTCATAGGGGTCTTAGCAGGTTTACATTCAAGGAAATCTGCATCTTCTAACATCTCCAAACATAACTTGCTCTGGCACAAGGAGATGCCTGCATCACTTCTGGCAATTTCCAATCCAAGGAAAAATTTTAATGTGCCTAAATCCTTTACCTTGAAACCCTTCTGCAACTGTTGCTTGATCAACGGGATGTCTTCCAAGTTAGGGCCAGCCAATATAATGTCATCAACATACACCACAACAATGCCACTATTACTTATGAACACACTATAGTCCTTATAGGATTGCTTGAAACCTAACTTCCCAAAGAACTCTGATAGCTTTAAATACCACTGACGGCTGGCCTGTTTTAACCCATAGAGGGACTTGTTCAGCTTACAAACCATGCCTTGATGGTCACTTAGCTACCTTAAACCTAGAGGTAACTCCATGTAAATCTCCTCCTCTAAGTCACCATGTAGGAAAACATTGCTAACGTCCATTTGATGCAGGTGCTAATGCTGAACTGCTGCAGTGGCAAGGAGCAGTTTGATGGAACTCATTTTGGCCACTGGAGAGAAAGTATCTACATAGTCAACCCCATAGGACTCAGTATACCCTTTTGCAACAACACGACCCTTAAACTTATCCACATTCCCGCTGGGCAGAAACTTGGTTTTATAAACCCATTTACTGCCAACAACATTAACTCCAGGAGGTCTAGGAACCACATCCTATTTGTGATTGGCTTCTAAGGCAACAGTTTCTTCCTTCATAGCCTATTGCCACTAAGGGTGTTTGGCAGCCTGCAATTAAGTTCTAGGATCAAGTGAGAGGGAAATAGCAAGAGCACAGCTCTGATGAGAATGTGGAAGGTGAGAATAAGAGAGACTAGTGGAAAGGGGATATAGAAGCTTGGAGTCAAAGGTGCAAGGAGAGTGAATTAGGAAAGAAGTGTGGAAGTCTTTGAGATGAAAGGGTAGTTTAGTAGCTCGAGATGGTTTTCTCATAGCAAGAGGAACAATATCAGGGGAACTAGAAGGAGAAGAACCACCAGAAACAATAGAAGAAGGGGAAGGAGTGTAATAAGGATCCACAGTTTTATGAATGTTGTGGTCAGGTGGCAAAGGTGGAGAAGGAGAAGAGGAAGAGGAAGAATGATCATCCTGTGGTTCAACGGAAAAGAAGGAAAGTGTGGAAAGGTGTTGAGTGAGAGGATGAGGTAATGATGAATCAGGATTGGAACTACTTGCAGGTTGAGAGAAAGGAAACACCTCCTCATTAAAGTGCACATCTCTGCTGGTGAACACAGTCTGATTTTGCATATCATACAGTTTATAACCCTTCACCCCAAAAGTGTAGCCTAAGAATATAGACTTAATGACACGAGGTGCAAGTTTGGGTTGATGTGGAGTGACAACGGTTGCAAAAGCTACGCAGCCAAAAACCATCGGGTTACTGTAATCCAGGGGAATACCATACAAGCACTAAAATGGAGACTTCTCATTCAGAACAAGTGTAGGGATCCTGTTGATCAGGTAAGCACTATGGAGAACAAAATAGCTCCATAAACTATTAGGGAGCCCTGACTGAAACTTTAAGGTTCTAGCAACATTTAATAAGTGTTGATGCTTTCTTTCAATTCTACCATTCTGCTAAGCAGTATAAACACGGCTAAGTTAATGCAGAATGCCTTGTTGAGAGTAAAATTCTGGCATGTTAAATTCTTGACCTTAGTCTGACCTAATCACCTTGACCTTGGTCTCAAACTGTATCATGACCATAGTCCAAAAATACTGAAGCAAGGCCCTCGCCTCAGACTTGTGACCCATAAAAAACAACCAAGTGAACGACTATAATCATCCATAACAATAAGAAAATACTGATAACCATCAATAGAAACCACATCCACAGGACCCCAAATATTCACATGTACTAAATCAAAGATAGATTTGGCTCTAGAAGTACTAGTTTGGAAAG